TTAAGTGAGTCTAAGCTGTAAAACTTTTTCATGTGACTGAGTTAAAAAAAAGTTAAATTGGATGAATTCATTGCTGTGGCTTTCACCCTGGTGTGTACTGACCAGTGCTCCCAGAGGTGATGGGAACTGCCAGGTAAAATCTGTTCTCACTCTCTTCGAGTTCACAGTCGAATAAAGAAGGGTTCAACAATAGCCAACTAAAGCAAACTCTTAAACTAGTTTTATCTTTTAATTGTTAGAGGGCTCATGCCCTAGCCAGAGTGTGGGGGTGGAAGAGCACCCCTCACTGCGGCATTGTCACACAGCAGTGCCTTCTCCATTTCTCCATCCCGTTGGGATTTGGGGCACCCATGCACGTGAGTTTAGCGTGTTTTCCATACCTTAGTGTGGGATTTGAACCACTTTCTGCAATGTAGGATCTGACTCCCTCCCCCATTGTTTAAAGGGACTTTTTCTGTAGGGCATGTGTGCTTCCCAAAGAGATGGAGAGAGAGAGACAGAAAGTGAGAAATCACCCTCCTCCCCCATGGGGGGGGGTGGCCACACTGCAGTCCCTTCTCCTCCATTCTCCTCTTGGGATTTTGGGCACGCGCATACATGGACCTGACCTGTGTGTCTGGGACTCAAACTGCAGTCAGCTATGTGGGAGTTGAGCGAGGTAACCATTAGAGCATCGGCTGGTCCCAGGATCTGGCTCCCTTAACCTCTAGACTATGGGGTTGGCTGATGAAGAGTTTTTTAAATGGACATTTTTATTCTAGTTGTATTTATTTGTACATTTTGCTGCTGAAATCTGCCAGAGATATTTGTACATTCGTTTTCTCAGCCTCTCCCCAACTTCCCAAAGGTAGACTGAGCCATCCAGGGTCCTTCCCTTGTTGGTAAGCAGTCCGTGAGTAGCCATTTAATTCTGTAAAGAGGGCACCCCAGGTGGAAAAACGGCTAGCTCACAAGGTTCTTGTCCTCTGAATCCCAGTCAGCTTATGGAAGTCTGCTTGTTCTCCTCATGTAGTTTCTGCCATTAGGGGGGTGAGTGAGAATTTAGGTAAGAGAATGCAGACTGCATTTTAAAGGGTCATTTTAAAACAAACAACAAAACACTAATAACATGTGGTCCTGTGTGTTCTGATGGTGCAAAGGGCAGGCCCATCATCTGACCCATTTCCAGGACCATAGCTGCTTGTGAAAATCACACTGTGCAGATGTTCGCCCTCCCCCTCCTGCCAGCCAGGGGAGGCAACTGCAAACTCATCCCCCAGTCAGAGCCCAGCCTCAGACAAAGGCCTTTTCTGTGAGCATTTGCTCCCACTGGGTAGGGTCCAAAATGCTAATTGGCCTCAGCTGCATTAAATCACTAAGTGGGGTAGCAGCTGCCTCGCCATTGCAGAAAACCAGGAGGGAGTCTTCACTGCCTACCAAAAGGACCTCCTTCCCCTCTCAAGTCCCCCTCACTTTTGTTTCAATTGTGATTGTGGACTCCTAAAAAGAGTGTGAAGGGCACAGGACTTTGGACTGGGCAGAGACACACGGGTTGGGAAAACATCCTCCATGTAGTTCTACCGTTCCAATTTCTGTTTGTAGGGTTCGTTGTTGATGTTTAACACTTCAGTTCTAGCCAGCCCTCACGTCTCTTTTCCACTGGGTCTTCTCCGGCTAAATGAAGTGCTTGTGGTGGTGGTGGTGGGTGTGTATTTCAGTGTTGGAATGAGACCACCAAACTCGTTTTGGATTAATGACCAAAGGGAGTTTGAAAGTCAGAAGTTGGTTCGTTACCACCTTAAAGACGATGTACAATACTGCATAACGAGCATTAGCCATAATTAGAACATTGTTGTAGGTGACTCAAAGCTGTTGGCAAATTCAGTCTTTCTGACACTTTTTCTCCAAGGTGGGCACTTGTAATTAGACAGAAATGACCATTCGTGTTGCTAAATGTCTTCTTATTTGATGTGTAATCGTTATATTAAAGTCATTAAAAGAAAGGGAATGTTTAAATGTATGTAAATTTCATCTTAAAATAACATGAGAGGAGAATATAATTTCTCAATTTTTTAAAAAAAGCGTTTTTGTTGTAGGGGGTGTGCACTCACTGGAGAGAGCTAGAGAGAGAAGGAGTGAGAAATCATCCCCTGGGAGTGAGGGGCGGAGGGGGAATGGCCGCACCTCAGTCTCTTCTCCATTCTTTTCTCTGTGGCCTTTGGGCATGCATGCACAGGTGCCTGTTGTTTTCAGGCTGCTGGGTCCAGGACCGGTGTGGGATCCAGCACTTTAACTGCCTTGCCACCTGCTGGCCCTCTCCTTAATATTTTTTGTAGCTCACTTTGATAGGCTTCCAGGATTTGACTGTGTGAGACCTGAGAACTGTCCTGGCAAGTGATGTCGATCTGATTGCTGTATTTCTAGATGCTATTTGAGTGGTTTAATATAATTGCTATTGCTTTTCCGATGTGATTTGATTGTGTTTAAGTTGTTCTCTCTTTTCACTTGCCAGAAGGCGTGTGCATGAGAGAGACTGGGGTGTGATCACACTGCAGTCCTTTTTCCTCCATCACTCTCTCCGCCAAGATTTGGGCACGCACTCATAGGTGCCTGCTGTGTTTTCTCAAGCCGCCAGGGTTGGGACTCCACAGGGCTGGCCATGTGGGATCTGGCTCTTTTTTAACCACTATGCTACAGAGCTGGCCCTAAGTGTTTATGTTTGATCGATTCTAAGGTGCAGCCCAGTTCTGAAAAGGGTATGGTGCATGTCGCATGGTCAGTGGTGCATTGTAGTGCCATTACATAAAGTAATGGCTTAGGGCTCTCCGGGGCATTTTAGATTCAGCAAGACAGATTGTGCCGTGATCATCTGCCAATAATATCTACTAATATGCTTATTCAGTGTTTTTTACCCCAGTGGGAAGTATTGAATTTAAGCCTATAAGAGCTTTCAAATGTGTGTTAGATTTTTAACTCTGTGGACTGTTAAAAAAAAAAAAAAAGGAAGCCATTGACTCTCTGACCATGGTGAACGAGTTAGCTCTTAGACGACATTGGTTCGTGTCACTTAAGAAAAAAGTACCTCGAAGCTCTTTGAAATATGTCATGATCTTTAATTACTGCTCGGGGAGCTTCTCACGGACCAGTCGTGGATGACGTGTGCTTTCTGTCAAGAAGTGAAATCGGCTAACAGAGTGTGAAAGGGAATAATGACCCTGGGAGTAATGCAGCTGGTATTGGGGATGGAGGTGGAGGGAGGCAGGGCTAAGGGTGGATCGGTGAGTGAAGTCTTTCTGATCCAGTGAAATCCACATACCGCGTGAAGTGAGTGACTGCTCGGACAACAAAAACACAATTGCGGTCAACATTTTGAGTTTTTTCTATTCTACGTCAACATGATTCTTTTTGTTTTTGTGTAGTCTCTGTTCCCCAAACCCTTGTAGGTTTACCAGTTTGGGATAAAAGGAGACAAACCCGTAGTTCACTTTTTGATCGTAACTGCAGTTCAGTGTAAGGAAAGTTGTGTGTACACGCAAACCTGTGCATGGGTTCTCTTTCTCACACTTGTGTGTGTACACACCGAGACTACTCAGAAACCCTGAATCTTCCTGACGCCAGGAGGCTTATCAGTTCTGATGGAGTGGTGTCACAGGGTAGGGAAGTAAGGACGTTTCAGGAACCAGTCATCGAAAATAAACCAACTGGAGGGGATCGTAGAGCTCTGGTCACCAGACTTATACAGTGCTTTTCTAACGAGGGCTGATTTTTCCCTTCTGCCATGTATTCTCTCTTCTTTCTCAGATTAATTCTGCTTGCCGTCATTCAATCACTCATTTATAAATGAATTGCCAGAGGGCACAAGTGCTCACTGGAGAGAGACAGAGACAGTGAGAGAGAGAGAAAGTGAGAAAGCACCCCTCCCCGGGGAGGGGAGGCATGGCCATGCCGCAGTCCCTTTTTCATTCTCCTCTCGGATTTTTGGCACACATGTGCATCTGACGTATTTTTCAATCTGCTGGGTCTTTGAACTGCACAGGCAGTCGGCCATGTGAAATCCAGCCGCCTTACCCAGCATGGCACTGGCTGCACACACACACACACACACACACACACACCCCGTCATGCTACCTACAAACTTTTCTTAACCTGACTCTTTGCAGTTGTGTGTCATGTACGTGCAGAAGGGCGCAGGGTGCCAGCCCTGGCTGGTGCCTAGTCTCTTCCCAGTGAATGTGAGAGAAAGCAGAGACCACAGACTTCTCAGCCTTGAGAAGGGCAGCTTGTTTGATGTATCAGACAGGCATCTCCACCTGTTCCGTTTCCCCTCCCTCTTGGGTACACGCTGTTTTTCTCCCTGTGCTCATCTTATTTTAATAAAGTGAGAGGCAAGGGGAGTAGCCAAGTCTGAGGCGACCTGCTGAGTGAGTTTTGTCACCTGGTGCTCTGGCCGCACCAGAAGCTCTTTTTGCAAGAGGCCTCACTAAGCGTGCCTCTGGGGCTGCACCAGTGGCCGGTGCTCAAGTGTGCAGTAATCTGCCCGTGGCCTCGCTGTGGGCGATGCTGAAGGTTTGCAGGTTGTTAGAGGGAAACCTCTTCTGGCCTCAAGTGAACCAGATGATTCGGATTCGCAGAGGTTTTCTAGAAAGAAAACAGCCTTTCCCAGCGATGAGTTGGAGTAGTACCAATCCGGCTTCGGGAGGTGGAGTGAGTCTTCAGGCACAGTGGCCAGGGCGGGCCCTCCGCTGGCTGCAGTGTCGAGCCTGTGCCCATCTCTCTTGGACTCCATGTCATTCCCATGTAGCCTGGACCACACGTCACAGCATGAGTCCCTGTCAGGCCCCAGTTCTTGGCACAAGGATAGTGCAGGGTGTACCCCTGCTGTCGGAGGGGCTGGGAACTTTGCTCCTTTCCCTCATGTATGCCAAGGGGATGGCACGTCTTCCCGAAGCCACATGATTCATTCATTCATTCATTCATTTATTTATTTATTTATTTATTTATTTATTTATTTATTTCTTAAGGATGAAGAGGAAGAAATCAAACTGGAGATAAATATGCTGAAGAAATACTCTCATCACAGAAATATAGCAACATACTATGGTGCTTTTATTAAAAAGAGCCCTCCAGGACATGACGACCAGCTCTGGGTAGGCGGGGTCTCCTCGGCCTTCTGTGGGGGTGGGGGTACGGCAAAGAGGGGCAGTAGCCGGCAGAGTCTAAAGGCCTGGCTTGTATCTCTTGGTTGACTCTATGCACGGGAATTTCAGAAAGTTTTTTGAAAAATGTAATTAAAGTGTGAGTTTACTTTGGTAGAAAACATTTGAAATCCACTCGAAAAGGTTTTTTTTTTCCCCACAATGCACATTTTTCTGAACTTTTTTATAAGAGAGTTTTTTTTTTTTTTTCCTCTAGGGTGCATATGCTCACCTGAGGGAGAGGGAGAGGGAGGGAGACAGAAGGCGAGTAATCACCCCTGGGGGGCTGGCCATGTCACAATCCCTTCTCCTCTCCAGGTCTCGGGCACACATGCACATGTGCCCAGAGCTGAGTTTTAAGCCGCCGGGTCTGGGACTCAAACTGCAGTCAACTATGTGCAAGTTCAGCGATGTAACCGTTACACCATCTGGTGGTCCCACATTTTCTAAACTTTTTGAAGGCCCCTCACATTGAATGTTGTTTTTTATGTCGATTTCACACTGCAAACAAAAAGGTTAGCTTTATAACAGGCTTAAAATGGAACTTCTAGAAGAAATATGAGCAAGTAGCAAGGAAATTAGGAACTTGAAAGCAATGCAATAAAAAATTTATTCATGGGTGCCAGTTAGTATGAAAGCCTAACAAAACTGTTTATTTTTTTACCACCTGGAAATGAGAAATAGATCTCAAGAAAACTTGGGGAGCATTCCTAATCTGAACATTTCAAATCTGGAATGCTCTGAAATTCAAGACTTTTTCAGTACCAACATGATGCCACGAGCGATGCCACACTTGCCTTCAGGTTGCTGGGTCACAGCTAGAGTGCTCCCGAGAGAAGTACTGTACTGGCTGCGTGCATGAGGAGCATGGCTGAATTTCGTGTTAGGATTGCGTTCCATCCCCAAGATAGCTCATTTATGTGTGCAAATATTTCAAAATCTACAAAATTCTAAAGTCATAAACATTCCTGGTCCCCAGAATTTTAGATCAGAGATACTTGACCTAATTTAAAAACAGTAAATTCCAGGGAAGCATTTTAGAATTGATCATTCAACCTTATCTCTTCTTTAAA